GATTTACAAACAGGGCATTGTCCTATGGAGTTGCTTGACCACATTCCAGGATGAAGAATACTGCCACAAGAACTAAATCTGAATTCTTGCCCCCACCCCCCTAAGTAATATAGGCATTTCAAAGACTTGAAGAGATTAAAACCTAATGAAGGCTAAATATAGTTTGACCAGTCTAGGTCCATGCCAACTAAAGAAAGAAAAAAATAAGCTACTTGAATCCAGAATGAAATTGAAGTGATAAATTTATAGCTAAAAGTCAGTACTGATTGTATCTTCATGTGTTGCTAGAGGGGACTACCAGTCTCACAAACTTGTTCATTGCAGTAGGTCTTTCAAGATTTTTTTGTTAGCCAGTTCTGCATCTGTGTTAAATCAATATCACAAATGATGTATGCTGTGGGCTATTTAGGAGGGGTTTGGGGGAAAAAAAAAAAGGGGGAAAAAAAAGGCATCTTACTGCTTTTAGTGCTAATGGTACATTCATTATGCTGAACCATAAATCTGTTTTGCCTGATACTGTTCTTAGGCATCAATAACTCATGGCTTGGAGTTCAAGGCACTACCACTACAATTTATAGAAATGTTCTGATGGGAGACTTACAACTTTATCTCCAAAACTAAGTGTGGTTTGTTTCTTGCTCTTCAGCTCATAAGAGCTAGTTTAGTGAGATGCTGAAAATAATTAAACTCTAAATTCAACATTCTGCAATCATTGATAGATGAAAATTCAACAGTAAAGCCTGCCAGTACTAATTATTTTCAGTTGATAAAGATCATTCATTTACTCCAAATAAATAGACATATTTATCAAATGGTTAATTAACTGCTTTTTCATTTTAACTTTTTTCTTTCCTCTATTTTTGGCATGCTCTTTTAGTATTAATATGCAAAACAGCAGATGTTTTCTTATAAGTACAAAAATAGTGGCTTGGCACTCTTAGAGGTGTAATAGGCAACTCTCAATCTTACAAAAATTCTGGGAAATAAATTAAAAAGACTATTGTAGCTAGTTTTATTGTAGAGTAAAAGATGTCAAAGAGAAGTGAAAGACCAGTCCATGAATATTAAGATTACTGTGACCTTGACCTATTCAGTGTTCATAGTTCAATTGTAAAAAGATTTTATGCTTAATTGGATTATAATTTTTCAGTTATTTTTTAGAATAATGTATATTGCTCTATATCAGGAACTGCATGTGAGTACAAAATTACAAAATTACTGATATCTATCTCAAGGAGTATCCACTGAATTTGAGAATTCAGGGTTCACCTATCATTGCTGGAATAAGTCATAATTTGGAGAAAAATCAGGGACCTTCTTGTATCATCTAAGAGTGAAAGAATATTTAGAGATGTACTTCTGCCTATTGAATATTGGCATCAGTCAGAAGCCAGGCAGTTTAGTCAACTAAGGGAGAAGAATATTCCTCTTTGACTAGGTCTCAAGTGATCTTCATTGTGATATGACTGAGTCAAATAACATAAAAATATATTTAAACTGAGGTCTTGAGCTGTCAGATAATACTAAAAGAAAGAAATCAAAACCTTTTGCTACCTGCTTCAAAAAGGAGTTATGTGATATGCATTTATTGGTTTTGCTTACAGAAATAGCACATGCAAGGTCTTCAGAGGCAATAAAGGACTCCTATATGGAATCTCCCTCCTCCCCTATTTATAAGAACATGTGTTACCAGGTCTGAATACAAGGATTTATTTTTTGAAGACTTTGAGCCACTGTTTACACATTTCAGCATGAATCACTTTTGCAGGTCGTTCAGGAACACAAGGGATAAATTATTTTGAGAAAAGAAAGAAAGGTCAGAGAAGGATGGAAAAAACCCAAAAACCTGCACCTCGAGATATTGTAGTTCTCTCTCCAGTCAGTGATACCAGGGCATTTTAATGTTCCAGCAGATCCCAAATGGAATCTATCTTAGTATGAGCTAACCTCAAGTAATGATTTATTTATGTGCAAGGCATCTTAAGAGCAAGGTGTCTAAAAAAAATTGTCCTGTTTACTCAAGGTTGTTGGCAAGTATAATGTCTACGAGATACTGCTTCCTTCATTTCACCATGGAACAGAAAAGACCTTATTGAAATAAACTCACATAGTAAGGATAATTTAGTGATAAGCCTTGTAAACTTCTACTGCCAGATCTTCCATAAAAGAAAAATTAAAAAACTTTTCTCATAGGCTTACAGTTTTCTGCAAAAAATGATTGGCATTAGCTTTATAACACGGGTGTAGGACGAGAACTCCTCATTAAAACCCCAAATGTGCCTATTTCCATCTCCATTCTTGTGTGAAGGGGTCGTCTAGTCCTTTCTTTTCCGATCAGCAGCTTTGTTCTACAGTCGTTTGCAAAAAAATACAATTTTTAAAAGACATTTTTTCAAACTGCAATTACTTCATTTACTTTGACAGAAATCTTTCTATCTCCTGGGGCACCAGAATAATTAATTTGCTAGTTGAGAGTGATATAAACTTGACTTATTTTCTTCCCGTTGTCAAGCAGTAGACATTACTATTCACATTAGCAGTGCAGCTGGCTCAGAAATGGTCTTTCACTGAGAGTCCTACACGTCAGCAATTTCTGTATCAATTTGTGTTAAGATAGTCTTGAGTTGCCAGGAGATCAGGCCAAGTTCATGTATAGGAAAAATGCTTATAAGAATTATTATAAACTGAAAGGTTCTGTGGCTCAATGGGAGAGCAAGGTGGCTAGTACCTGAGAAAAGTAAACAGTTTTTATACTCCAGACAAAAGTTACGGCTCTCGGGTGTATTTTGAACAACAACAGCCTAATGTTTTCAAATTATTACACTGTATTTACGTATCCTCATGACAACAGACTTTGATGAGGCAGTCATTGTTCTGCAATTGGGTATACAGTTTATGGGGAATATCATAGAAAAGAAGACTGGAAAAGCTCTTTGAAGGAATATCTAGTTCATTGTTTTGCCCAAAGATGGAATCAGCTGCATCAAACTTAGACAAATTTGCCCAAACTGGAACATCAAGCAAACTGTGTATTGCCTTTGCTGTGCTGGCAGTCAAGTTTGCTAAAATGTCAAGGTGACATTTCCTGCTCTATCTTTGTATGTTGGGTTAGTTTGTCTGTAATTTACTGATGAACTTTCTTTATTTTTCTACCTGATGCAGTCAACTTTTGGTTATCTGTAGGCAGATTGCCCTGGTGATATATTAACAGTGCCATGGCTGTGGAGGCATCTGAGCTTGCTTTAGGTGAGTAGTTTGGCTGTTTTGCTGTTTGAAGTGCCATGATCAACAGAGCTGCTAAGTTTTTGAAACTTAATTAAACTTCTGTCATATGCTTTCATAGCCTAATACAGGTCATGATACTTTCAGCTCTTGATTAACCCAGGTCAAGTATGTAAAAAGACTTTTTCTAAAGCAAGTAATATCATTTAACCCTTGAAATGCTGAAATAGAGGGTGGTACGTAGAAATTAGTTTTAATAGGGATTCCTCATTAACAGTCCACACCAATATATATAAAACAATAAATGCACAAAGGTACTTTTAATGTTACTTTTTTAAGTGGTAGAAATAAATAGTGAAGATTGGGGAAAAAGTTACTGATTTCAAATCCAGCAATAACTGTTTTAAAAAATTATTCTCAAATTATATTTCCTTTACACTTTTTTGTTTCTACATTATACTTAACTCAGGATATGGTAGCTGTGGGTCTTATGAGGGATCTGCCTTTTCTATCAAATGCTGCTGATATTTTTCCTTTTTTTTTCACCTTTTTTTTTAAATACTCAAAAAAGTAAATAGAAGAGCATTTAACAAGGGACAACAGCAATATATCTTTCAAAAACCAGTGACAATAAAGCAATTTTTTAACTTATCAAATTTGATAGAAAATTCATTGTATGCTTATCTTTAAAAGAAAACTAATAATTCAAATAGATTTTGTAAACAAGAAATTGGATTTTTTCTATCCTTTTCACATTCACCTTTATATTCCCATTTGAGATTAGAGCCCCAGTCATGTTTACTCAGCTAAGGACATAACTAAGTATAATAGTCCCTGTACCTAACCTTACTCCTGTAAAATGCAGTCCACCTCAAGTGTTCCACCTTGAGACTAAAACTTTTCATAACCTGTCTTTTAATTTTGCCACAGGATTTTGTGTCCAGTTGGATTTCCTCTTGATTATGCCTAATCTAGCTGTCTCAAACAGAATTAGAAAACTTTAGATGCCCCATTTTAGTGGAACCTTTGCCTTTTTTTGTAAGGAGAAACTCCATCAATCAAAATATTCATTCAAGAGTAGTTTGTATATGCATTATCAGTATTTAAGGCTCTTTGCTTACTACTGAACTATTAAAATTAAACAAAATATGGAATACAAGTTATATGAAGTAATTTTAGTTATTATAAAGTACTTTCTATAAACAAGGTTGTGTAAGTTTCTAATAGCTGTCTAAGCCTGCATATTTGTTTCTCCTGTTGTGCCCTACACAGAAGTGCTGACAGGACCCAAACAATAACAATATAGCAATGTTTCTCTAAAACCAAACAAACAAAACCAAAATCAACCCACAAACAAAAACCCAAATAGAAATGACTGTAAACATCTTCACAACCTGGAATGTATCTTACTCATCATTTTCTTGAAAAATAAAATCTCTGTAATACAAGCACCTTAACCTCTGTAACACCATGTAAAGCAGGTAAAAAAAAAGGATATTTTCCAGGAACTAACCTTCATGCAGTAAGATTTATTTGAGGGAATAGCACTTTCCTCTGGAAATTAACCCCAGATTTTATCTTATACCATTGCTTTTCTTCTACTCACCACAGCAAGTAAGACTTAGACAAACGTATGCAGGAGCAGTCTGTCTGTGGTTCCTCGCTTTGCCTTGCTGTTGCTCTCCTATCAGCTGTGTCTGTGCTCTCCTGTAGACACAGTGTGACAGGAACTCTGCTGCCTGGCGAGCAGGTACAGCTGCAGCTTTAGTGCTTGCTGCCTGCCTCACATTTGTAACACCCTCGCTCCTTCCGGTCATTCGTTCCAGGGGAGGAATGACACCAGCATTTCTGAGCTGTTCTTGTGTTTTCTCCCAGAACAGTCAGGGAAAGCAGACTTCGTGATCTCCATGCTAACCACCAGCCTGCTTGCTGCCAGTCCTCCCTACTTCTGCCAGTGATGACATTCAGCTTGCTCCTCCACACAGGATACAGCACTGATTCCTCATTATGTAAGGCAGTCTAGGTCAAGTGTAGGAGAGACACTGCTGGCCTGAGCAAGCTAGTGGATTGCTCCCTCAGCTTCATGGGGTCTGGAAGCTGGATCCTGATCTTTGCTACATCTTCTTGGGTGAGTGTTTTTGCATGACTTAAGTGGTTACTGTGCTGTTTTTCTATGCAGATAGCTGTCAGCCATGCTGTGAATTGCAGAGATAATTTGCTAGGTGAAACCAGCCCTGTCAGCATGATTGAATTAACAGAGTAGTACTTCTTCTAGGCATCACAGCTTTGAGACACTTTGTAAATAAATAAATCATAAATTGGGTTTGTTTAATGAATGTCCTTTCTAACCATATGGGGATTAGGGTTAATTTGACTGATTAAGCAGTGAATTAAATCCATTTACTTGAAGATGGTGTGGGAAAACATTATTGGATATTGCTATTAGCTCTGAGAGGTTTACTGCAGTTTTTGGCTGTTGCATTGTTTTAGCCTTGCAAATTACAAATATGCTTCTTTTATTAAACTAAACAAAATAAGCAAAAAGGTACTTAATTTTCTTCTACTCTATGGTTATTTTCTGAAGTAGCCATTAAATTCAGGATGCTATTTGTCATTTACTGCATGAATTTGTGAATCTGTATGCTTCTGAGATATGTAATGTGAATACTGCAGATAAAATTACATTTAGTGACTGCTCTGCAGAATGCCAGAACACTGCATGTGAGCTAGGTTTGTATGAGAGGGTAGCTTTTTTTAATGCACCGTGTAGAATTCAAAGACATTTTTTGGATTTAAACCCTTCTGCAAATCAGTCTGTAACAAAGTATAGAACAGGTTTGTCCTTAAATGAATTATACATGCTGGGTATTGCCAGGTGCTGGAATGTCTGATCATACTGGAATGCAGCAGAAGAGGCCCTGGAAAGTAACAGCATAACACTGATACTGCAGTATCATGTAGGGAATTTCAACAAGGCTAGCTTCCTTCCTATGGAAAATCACTGCCTAATAAATCTAAAAATATTTTTAATACATTTGAGAGATTAACTGGAACACTTGTCTTTATGTGCAGTACCTTGGACAGCAACTTTTTTGTTCTGTGGTATTGTGACTCCTCCATGGAAGTCAGCAATTTGTGAAAATTAAATAATACCAATTTAAGATACATTAATAAATTCAAAAACACAGGGGAACTTAAAAAAAAAAAAAAGGGGAGAGAAACTTTGGACAGGGTTATATTTAACAGCTTACTACCATTTAATTTACTTTCATTTAATATTAACTTAAAAATAGTGATGTTTGTATTGAATTATGTTGAGTGTCAAAACAGAAAATTAAAAATGCAAAATTACTTGCTGTTTAAAATATGGCATTTACGGAATTTTCATGTTCAATAGGTAACTGCTTACTTTAAGAATAAGTACCAGGGCCCCTTCCTTAAGTCAAAATAAGATTGGATATTAATAAAAGTTTATGTATTAATATCAGATTAAAACTAATTTTTATGGAAATAATGTAAGTCTTTTAAATGTGGTTCCCCCCCCCCCAAAGGAAACTAGTTGTTCTTCACATTGTTCTAGAAATAACTGATAGAATTTAATATCAGCACTTGTTCCGAAGTGAGATGAGTTGTTTTATCATTTTCCTATTATCTTTAAAAACTCTCTTTCTCTGGAAAAGAACTGCCAAGCAGTCGATTTTCTCTTCATCATGGCCTTACCTTACCAGTTACCAAATTTTTATTTTTTTTTTTTTCAAATGACAGTCATATAAGCCTATGCTGTGATTCAGGAGAAATACCAGGCTGGTGCCTTCATTCATTACATTGTGAAAGTTAGCTTCAGGAAAATGATTTTTGGTATCTCAATAACACCTCTGTTGCAATGCAGTATATTACATTGTATAACATTTTATAGGTATATTTTCATGTTTCAAAATACAGAAGTATGACTTTCAAACAAGTAATAGAATAATACAGAAATTAGAACAAAACTACTAGGTACCACGCATTATAATAATGATGTGCTTCACATTCTTTGTTTCTTGCTGCATGAAGTGTTCTAAAATAGTTATGCTATTATATATGAGTACACTGTGTTCCATCCCATCTCAAGTGTGGGTGCTTGAGGTATTTTCTTACAGACTCAAGGAGTATTAATAACCTATCTATTCAATTAGAAGAAAAAAATACTTACTGTCTTTAAATGTATAGTGATTTTCTGGAAGTGTAATTTTTATTTTTTGCATCAGGGTTCACAGCAGGGCATGCACAGTACTTCTGAGCATAGCAAGCTGCAGATACTACAGTGTTAGAAAATGGTGTTTCCTATGTGGATTTATATATCCTATATTCTGGTGTATCACTTTGGGTCTGAGAAATTGAATCTGAGCAGTAAAATATGTTTTGAACCCACTACAGTGTAGAATGACCCTTAATGGTCAGTGCCTCCTTCTGTTATTTTTCTGTGGTTTAGTGGAATTGTCCAATCCACTACATCAGTAGCTTGCTTTCAGTATTCTCTATACTTCCTCAAATCACAATATGCAGTTTGAGTTTCTGACAAACTTTTCACTTTTCCTCACAGCACTAGTTTTCTGTACTGCAAGGAGGTTACCTTGTTCTCTTCATAGGCATGGAAATGACACTAAAACTTAGGAGCATGGAATCAATATGAAAGTGTGTGAAATAGGTTATTTTAGAAGAATTTTTCTAGAATAAACAATGGTGAGACCATTTTTGTAATCCGTGATGTAAAAAAGTATAGCAATATATAGTACACTATTATTTTCTATAAAGGTATTTATATCTCAGATTTTATCTGCCTATTTTGAGTAGTTGAGTGATGATAATCATATGCTAAGTTAGTGCTAAATTGGAAGACTACGAAGATCTGTGTTTTTGTTTATCTCATGAACATCTGAATGCAAGACTGAAATAGTAAAATTGTCAAGCTTTCCAGGTAACCATGGGCTCACAAATGCAGATCTTTCCTTGTCCAGAACAGCTTTTTTTTATTTGCAACTAGTACGCAAAAACATTCCAAATGTGATAAAAATCTATTGCTGTAGAAATGGGCTTTGTCTCTTCTGAAGATACCTGTTTAGAAGCTGGCAGGTGTACTCTGTTCCCTGTGAAAAAAGTTACTATTCTTTTTATTCAGAGGTTTTCCTTGCTTTTCCTTAAAGTTGGTTGGATGGAGTCTTCTGTGTTGCTACAGTTAATCTCATTTTTACAGGTTCTGGTTTTCCATTATTATATTTTTCCACCCTTAACTGCTTGTTTAGCACTTCTGTGGCTGCAGTACAATTGGTTCACAAGTTTAGAAGGAGAAAATGTCCCCTGGATTATCATGTTCACCTGCTTGTCCATGGAGGAACTTGATTGGCTCATCCCTTGTATATTAAACACTCCATTAGCTGTTTTCCACATCCATTGGAATTCATAGAATTCATTCCTAGAACACTAGAAAGAGATACTGTAAAGAATCAAGGGAGATTTCTTAATGTTTTGATAAATAAAATATATCTCAGACTGTCATTAAATATATATATTTATTGCTCTTAACACTTTAATAATTGTGTATGTAGAGCACACTATTCTGCATTGTTACTTATGTGGTTTACTGTCACATATGAACATCTCAGCTTGTAAGGTTAATTTTAAAGGTTTCTCTAGATGGTACACAACTTCGTTTGCACCAAAAATGCTGAAACAGGATAGTAACAAAAAGGACTACACTCTCTTTTTTCTCCAGTTGCAGTTCATTATAGGTTCCATTCAGAAAGGGAACTGTGCTGCAGAGGATCACCAGAGAAGAACTTCCAGATGAATCCCTTCATATTCTGCAGAAAAACAGTATCTCACAACACCTGGTGATCACTAAGGCTCTTGAGCCAAAAACTTAGTGGGATGTTCTTCACCAGTGCTTTTAAACATTTACGCAGTATTCCTGAGGTAGAGCCAAGAGTAGGACTGGTCAAAATTTTTATGAGAGCAAGTGAACCACAGACCTCCATTAATGCAAAGTTACCATGTCTGCAGAACCTGAAATCTGCAAGATTGCAAGCTCATGGCTGCAATGGAAAGTTTGCCTGGCAACTGTGTCCTTGCTCTGCAGGGCATAGAGGGTTCTTCTTTGGGCCTGTTGGATGATTGCTTCAGCCCTTGCCCATTACGATGATTTATGCTTGGGCATTCAGGGAGGGAGTTGTCACTACACTTGCAGGAAGAAGTGCTCAAAAATTTCCAAACTAAATGCAATGAGTATCCTTGGTTTTGACTAGCTATTACCAGTGTCCTATTTGTTTAGAGACAATAAAAAAGGCAAGTTAATTTTGGAGAGGAAAGGGAAGGGAGACCATGTTTTATTTATTAACTTTCCGTGGATCTTAGAGAAACTGTGATTAAGAAACCTTTTTTTTTCTTTAGTTGTGGTGCAATGTCTAGGTTTAAAACATTAAATATATAAGAATTCATGAGATGTAGCTCTTTAGCAGTTGGAAAGAAGTTGCTGTTGTGTTGATGAAGTCTTCTCTCTCAAACCCCATATCAAATGACAGTTAGAAGCTACCAAACGAGCTTGTTAAGATAACCAGAGACCCTATCTATTTTCCTGACTATATAAGCTGCTGGAGCTGAATTTGGGCACCTGGTTATACCACTGTGACCAGTGAAATCTGAGGCACAAGAAATGCTGCTTAAAAAAACCCCAAACTTTCATATTCTGTTTATTATACTTGGAGATTTCTCAAAGTCAGTGGTCATATTAAGCATCCTGTGCCAAGTCTCTACTGATTCTAAGTTCTTCCTTAAAGGAGGACACCTTAGTTCATTCATTCCTGGTTTACTGTTTAATTTTGTGTTGTTTATTTCATTTCAAAGTGCAAGGTTTTAAAGGAGCTATGTCTGTAACCTGTCAAAGATGCCCAGATTATAGCAAAGACTGGAGGAACTCATATTAAAACTTCAAGCTGAGGAGCAAGTATTCTACCTTTTATCTGAGTCTGTGTTTATAAACACCAGAAAATTCAGCATTTCCAGAAATATCCTCCATTAACAGACAAATTTCTGTGAATGATCATTTGGCATCAGCAATAGTATCTGAACATCTGTTTAGTATTTAAAATT